GTTGGGGACACAAGAGACTCTTTGTTATTTGGTTGCAGGGTTGCTTGAGAGAGACCATCTTCATCCTACGCCTCCTACGGATTGATAAACCTTAGGTCATCCATTTGAGGGAAATTTGCTACTGTCCTACAAACCTCTGCACTTGGAGGCCCAACAACGTCTACAAGAAAAAGGTTGTGTAGTAGACATCAGTCAGTGGCAAGACGGGTCCAGGTGTGCTTGAAGAAGGCAGGGCCAAATCCGTCTGGGCCAGGGGCGGCCCCCGCACGCATCCCGAAGACAAAAGCTTTGATCCCAGCGATGGAGAAAGGCCGATCGAGAGCGGCCGACTGGGCAGAGTCCAATCTAGCTCCAGCCATCAACTGATGCAGGTCCAGACCGTCATCGACCGGTGTTTCAGTCCCAAGCAGGTTCAGGTAGAAGTCACGCAGGATGCAAGCCTTGTCGCTGTGGGCTCGGTGCTCGACCCCGTCGCGGACGAGGCATGCAATCTGGTTTCCACGGCGGCGTGCAGACGCACATGCATGGAAAAACTTGGTGTTCTCGTCGCCCAACACACAGAACCTGATTTCCCCCCGGCGTCTCCAATACTTGGCCCATTAAAGTTAGAGCAGGAATATAATTATTGCTTTGTTGTCTGGGCATTGCTAAATGCTAACTTATGGTTTTGTCCTTGCATAGTTTTTTCATCTGGAAACTGGCAGTAATATCAGTAGTGTGTGTGTGCTTAAGGATTGATTGCAGGTATTTATGAACAGTTCTTCACTAACACATCTTCTCTGAACATGAAAATTTCCATATCATGTCCTTCGTTACTTGGTAATGATTATTATCCTTCTTCCTTGCATTTGGGGATATATGTGGCTTCATTTGCACATTTCTATCCTTGTCACAAAAGATAGCCTTTTGGCCTCAAGTTACAGTACATCTTTTGCTTGTAGGTAGGAGAATTGCTGGTGGAGCTGAAAATGCGAACACATGAGATCTGCTAATGTGCTATGTTGGTTAAACAGGTGATGTAAATTTATCTTTTCTGCATACAACTTAGATGCCGGAGTTTCCCGCTTTCTACTCCATGAGCCCTCTCATGTGCACATTATACAGAAAATATATTGAATGGCTTGATAATCTAGAAAGTTCAGTATTTGCCTCTGATGGAGGGCATTGAGTCAACACTAGGGGTTGCCTCGAGAACATGTCAACAGTAGAAGTTGATGGCCCGTAGCGTAAACTACGAACTAAATGTTATTCTATTGCTAGGATGATAGGCAGTTTTGTCTACTAGTGCTGGGATGATTCATCTTTGCATATTGTTGTATGACCTCCATAGTGTGAGTTGATGCTTATTATTGCTGTAATCATGCAAAATTATGAGATATACCCTTTTTCCACTCTACATGTATGAGATATAACTTGATCGGCTTCTTGGTGAGTGAGTTGTATAAATTGGTTTTGACATATGGCATTTATTGTTCTTCAGGTATTTGGAGTTTTCTTTGGTTTGTGGAGACGCAGAAATGCGGAGATGGCACTTTGCTGCATGTCCTTCAGCTTTTGTATGCCGTGGCTGCTGATGTGGCCGACACTGACATTGACAATATATGGAGCAGAATGTAGGTTCTTCCGCTTTGTATGATGCGTCCTGTGAAGTGGACTTGTAGGATTTAGTGTGTAATTCGCTAACTTCTCTGAATTACGACTATCTACTACTCCCTCCGTCCCAAGTAATATTTTCAGGTACTATTAGTCCGGTTGCATGCCTATATAGTGTTTGTGGAGTTGCTTCTGTTAGTGCGTGGATCTCTTGGTGTATTAACACCTTGTGGTTCATTTGCTTCATATCTCAATTGCTCGGTCTTCCACTGCATCGCATGCATTCTGGATATTGCTTGCATTCTTCCATGTGTCCTTTATATATACCTTGAAACAAAAGCAATCTCTACCTTGTGCATTTCAAAACAGACAAAAGCCTGGATGATCAGGATCAGTTACATGATAGGCTAAGCACGCCACACCAGGTGCAGCCGGCCATAGCCAAGAAAGAACACAGAACAAGGCTAGGATAGTCTTTTATTTATTTTGGAATGCATAACATTGCATTTAACTGGTCGAAAGAGCTAAATCGCTCTCCACTAAAGATCAGGCACAGGTCAGTTACCTAAAAAACTGGACTTGTTTATCCTCTTGCTGCCCATTGCTGCAAGGGCATGAGCAATACCATCACATTTTCATGGACAGTACAGGACTCTGGAAATTCAAAAAAAAAGCAGTCTAGCAAAAGCCTTCACGTCTTCAAAAATCACACACAGGGGTGACAAATCAGAGCTTTCAGCTTCCGCACCTCTCAGGAGGTCTCCATTTTTGCCTATGCACCATCTTCTCTTCTTTGTTTGATTTCGACAGTTTCAGGAACTCTGTTGTCGGGTGTTTGATCGATAATCCACGCTGCTTCTCCTGATTTTTTTTGCCTTCCCCCTTCTCTGATTTTTTTGTCGATTCCACAGTGTCCGCAACAACACTATAATGGTCATCCTCCTTCATGCTGCAGAATTTTTTTCATCACCTCTCTAGCATTTACTTTGGGGCTAAGGAGCACTCTTTGTTCTTCCAATCCACATTCGCTCCACACATGCTTCACTAATTACAGTTTGCACTTGAAAAACAGATGCCCGCAGTCTTCAAAATCCCCACTGCATAGGAAACAATTTGGATTGATAACCATCCCTGTTCGATTGAGTTTGATCTCAACGGCCAGTGCGCCAACCTCCAAGCAAAGTGCATTATCCTGTTTGGAACAGTTAACTTTCAGATACTGGGCGAAGGTGGAGGCTCTTCAACTAACACTGGAACTAGAGGGGCAACCAGTGGTTTGCCAAAAAAAATAAAAGAGGGACACCCAGCGTTACTGCTAAGGTTTTCTATCTTCAGTATAGAGCCTGTAAGCAAATTTCACCAAGAAAAGCCCTTTTTTGTCATAGTGCCAAGCAAAGCGAGTCTTCAAAATTCTCCCCCATAGGAATTGATTTTATCACTGCAACATCCTCCCTTCCAAAGCATTGTTCCACTAGGTCACTGCCCCACTCTTTTGTGACAGGGCAAATAAGCACAAAAACATGGCTCAGCAAGTTCATGCCCCTCACCGCCACCGGTTACAGAGTTCCTCCCATGGGCAGGGTAGTCACGGATCGCCCCACATGTTTTATTTTCTCCCCTGTGCCTAAGATGCCCCTCCACGATTATGAGATGCTAGTGCTAGATAAATCCGTTTGAGCGGCACTTAATATGGGACGGAGGGAATAGCATTCAACAAGTATTGTCCGAAAAATACTTTGCTCCAAGGACTCGCACAAGGACCCTGGATTTTGGATCATCCTCCATCCCTGTCGCGCCAGCATTGCCATGTGAAAGCCGTAAATCTCTCTTAAGCCATAGAACTCCATCATTATGAGGTTTTGTTAATGTTTGCGCCAGCATAGTATAGCTCCCGGTGACACTGTGCTAGCTTTATTTTTTTAGAATGCCCTCTTCTAGCTTCATGATCCCAAAAGAAAAATCTAGCAACACAACTCTTTCACTTCTTGCGCTTCTAAAAAGACATGGTTGTGTGTATCACAATAATTTTCTAGAAAAAATACTGCTAAACGCCCAATCTATCGAACTATTTGGATCTGGTCAAAACCTATGGGTCTCATTATGGCAGAATGTTTTTCAATGGAAGGCAATGTTCTCATCATTTACGAGGCATACGTGACGACTTCATCAATCGCAAGACCCGCCGAGTCAGAAGGTGCTCATAGAAATAGCACATATGCATGCGTGCATCTATAGGAATGCTTTTTTGTGGGGTCATTAGTAATTCTTGGGATAATTTCCTTCATAGTATATAGTACACCGCTGCCATTCCAGCAGTAGCCCGGAGCGCTGGCGGTGGAGACACGTACCACAACCGAGCGAGCCGGCGGTTGGCTGGGCGTTGCCATGCACCATCCGAGATTTGGCGGCGTCCGCGGAGAACGCTCTCGGAGGAGACACGTACGCACGCAACGCCAAGCTCCTCAGCCCCCCATGCACGGAGCGGTTGGTCACGTCACGCCGCGCGCACCCACCACACGTCCTTCACACAGTGGCTGCACGGGGGAGCGGAGCTGGACCCCCGGGCATGGCAGGGGCAGCTAGCGATGCCGGCCTGTGACCGGTGGTGCGCGCTCGTGACTGTGGAAGCGTCTTGAAATGAAACCGGTCGGTACCGACCGTGGTCACGGGCCAAGCTCGCTGCATCGCCTTGGTAAAGCTATCGAATGTGATCACCGATCAGTACAAGTATCGCATGGGGAAAATGTGTGAATCTCGCAGTCGAGTCTTACCGACGACATGGCAGTTATGCGGTAGTGAGTGCTGATCCACGGATCCACCTACCCGTCCTACGTACCTCTGGCAACCCCAGCGGTCAACACTGTGCCATAAACGCTCTGTCCGTGGGAATGTAGCAGTACGTGGTAGTACCACGATCCACACGGTCACGGAAATTTACACAAGCACCTAGTGCATGCATACGTAGGAATGTTTCGTCCTCGCAGAATCCATGTCGCCACGACCCAAGTTGGAGTAGCACACAAGATGACACAACGGAAATACTTCACAGATGATACAGCGCTGAACGACATTCAACGATGGCTAATTCAGCCGTTAGCTGCTGCTTTAGCTTTATTCATGGATGGCTTGATATGCATGTCGTGCATGTATCGTCGGGTAAATGTCGTCCATGTAGCAGTGCTCATGACACAACCCAGCTTGATGAAATGCAATTATCAAGCGGCCGCCGCTCTCACGGTCACGGGCGCGCGCCCAATGCAAAAGACAAACGAATCGCCTGTTGCTCTGTGTCTGTGAGCTCGCAGTACATATATTTTTGGGTCGCTTCATCCAATCCCAGCTCTGCCCCAGAACGCACCCACACTCCACTGACCACTACTCTGGAGAATCAGGGGGAGTGAGAAACCATGAAGCCTCTCGCCGCTCTGCTCGTCTCCAGCCTCCACATCCATTGCCTTTGCCTACTACTCCGGGGAGCACATGCCACGGCGCCGGCGCCGGGAGCCCACCACAAGTACAACGCGACGGTGTACAACGCCTCGGCAGCGCGGTGCGCGGACTGCGACGGCGGGGGAGACGGCGCCGCGGCCGGCGCGGCGCTGGGCGGCCTCGGCGCGTGGGCGGAGGCGGCGGAGTTCCTCTACTACCACAACGCGGTGCGGATGGCGCGGTGGGAGCTGCCGCTGGCGTGGTCGCCGCGGCTGGAGTCGTACGCGCGGTCGTGGGCGTCGCAGCGCCGGGCGGACTGCGCGCTGCGGCACTCGTTCCCGGAGGGCCAGTTCGCGCTGGGCGAGAACATCTTCTGGGGCGGCGCCGGCGCGGCGTGGCGGCCCGGGGACGCCGTCAAGGACTGGGCGGCGGAGGGCGTGGACTACTCGTACGCCGCCAACGCGTGCGCGCCCGGCCGGGAGTGCGGCCACTACACGCAGATCGTGTGGCGCCGCACCGCCTACGTCGGCTGCGCGCGCGTCGTCTGCGACGACGGCGGCGTCTTCATCACCTGCAACTACTACCCGCCGGGGAACGTCGTCGGGGAGCGGCCCTACTGACCCGGCCCGCCGGCGAGCTGCGGCGCGACATTCTAGGAGCATATACTACTGCCATATGACACTGGCCTCAGCGCTGTCTGTCATGGCAGTGTTGTTCCTGTCGAGACTCTAGGAGCATATTGTAAACTACTCCAATTTGAGAGCAGATAATGATAGTGTCACCGTCGTGACTGAATTGAGTGTGACAAATAGAGATGGATGTACGTAACTCAATGTCATTGCTGTGACTGAATGAGCTGAAATTTTTAGACTTGGATCACTGAATTGGAAGTCGTCGTAATCTGCAGGTGGCAGGAGGGAACTGATTTAAACTGTAGCATAACTGAACATTACAGAATGGCAAATGTTGCCATAATCAGAAGTTGAGTGAAGATTGGCTTTGTAATCTTCATTGCTTGTTTAGACTCTCAACTTAGATAGAGAACTGATTTCAACTGTAACATAACTGAACATTACAGAATGGCAAAGTGTTGCCATAGGCAGAAGTTGATTGGCCTTGTAATCTTCATTGCGGATATTTGTCTTTCTAAATATCTAGAAAGACAAATATTTAGGAACGGAGGGAGTTGAACACAATTGTTATTACCAACATATAGGCTGCCTGTGCATGTGCATCATCATTCCCCAACTCCTCCCCAAACCGCGATCTAACTTTGTTTATCTATTTTTTTCTTAGTCATGTGCGTCTCATCGAGCCAAGTTATTTGTCGTTTTGATTTTTTCGCTCCAACCTCCATTTTTTTAGGCTACATTAATCAAAGAGTCTTTTGGTGGACTAACATTTGTGGGAACTGTACATGGATATACTTGTAATTGCTTGTACATGCATTGTTTTTTTTTTTTTCAGTTTGCTTACCAAGGATGTTAACAGTGTTGTCTACAACACGGTGCATTCTAGAAAGTTGGCTGCTCAATCTGAAAATTTTGTGGGACATAAATCCATAGCGAAGCACTGCATTCATATTTGTTTCTTTTATCATATTGATTACCTTGTTGTCCTATATTGTTCCACTATGTGCTTCTCGTGCCCATCACTTTAACACATATTATGAAGGTAATGACTTGATATTCATCAAACCAAGATACGAGCATGAGCACACAATGTACCAGTTTTATCAAGTTGTCGGCAGCTGCATGCAAGTATTTGCTTCGAAGGGTCAACGGTAACTCTATAGTCATGGACAATAAGTGTTTACCCTTATAAATCTCTCAATCATGTTCTCTGGTCCCTTAAATTGGAGAACAAGCATTATGAATGCCAAGGATAATCAACCTAATAACCAGTCATCAAACTAATCCCACAAGATTATCAAGATAAGGAACATGGACAAACACATCTTACCAACCCCTTACATCTCCCATGCCCAGGGGAATTACTCGCGGATGAGAGGTAAATAATAACAAAACACATAGATCAAATAAAAGGAATCATCTCGGTTTTATGGTAGTTTGTCACAAAGATGAATGATTAACCATATTAGGATCTCTAGGTCAAAGTATGAATACAGTTTATGAACCTTAAGCTTATAAGTTGGAATCTTTCTCTAATGGTGGTGTTGTCGGTCATGTAATGGAGGATGTCGGTGTAAAGGAACCGGAATGGATAAGGGTGGAGCGATTCTCCCCTGGATCTCTCTTCCTCTGCTCTGGTTGTTGTCTTTGCCTCCCCCGTTGTTCTGTTGTGTGTCTCCTAGCTACGGAAGTTGCTAGTCTAGATGAGGGGAAGGCGACGGCTCTTAGTACGACCAACTATACAAGCAGTCACGCTCATATGACGTGTCTTCTTCTCTTATATTGACGTGATATGCAGTTTGTTCCTAAGAGAAAAATATATATTTCCCCCTCAATCACCCAAGTATGGTTTTATATCCTTCTAGAAGTATCTGGTCCTGAAAATCAATCAAGAATACGAGGTTTCTCTAGTTTCGATAAATATTCATCTGTGAAGAGGAAAAACCCTTGGTTAAACCAAGCTAAATACCCTCGAAAAATAGTATATAAAATAGAGTCACCACTCTCCTAGGCCTATCTCAATTTGGGAGGAAATTGAGAGTATAAGATAAGAAGATGGCAACGACATGCGTGGAGGGAGATTTTCAGGCAGTTCTTGCCCTCCTCTCACGATGGGCAACCATTGCCTCGAGTCATGGAGCATTGGAGGCATCTGGTGCTTCACATTGTCCCCTTCCCCCTAGATCAGCATCACTGACGAGCTCAGCATAGGACACCACCGGACCACCCCTCAACCTCTTTTGGCCCAGATCGACACCGCCATGTCGCGCCAGGTTGCCCTTGCCCCTCTGTCTGTAGCACGTCACTGCTCTGACATGACACACTCCCACCTAGGTCGTCCTCGCCCCCACCCACCTATGGCATGTCGTGGCTCCGACATGGCACACTCCTGCCTAGGTCGAGCTATGACCCCCTTTGTTGTTATCTCATCCGCCGGGAATTGTTATTGTTGCATCAATATTGTTCTCTCTTGTAAAACATGGCCACACAATACAATTTATGTAGAAGCAATAGCATGAGATGATGTGATGTGATAGACTTGTTCGTGTCGTACACATTTTCCTTGTACATTTTATCTTGTTGGTGTTGATTTTGTTCAAGTAAACTCCATTTCCATTTAAGGATACTATTGGTTTTCAATTTATTATTTTAGTGTATTTGCTGCATGATTTTCACACGTTAACTCGTATTTTAGCATAGCGATAGCACATAACTTTATACGTGTCATTCTTTCACCACAGTTAAGAATACCATCACTAGTGCAGAACTGGGCAATAGCACCGGTTCGTAAGGGGCTTTAGTGCCGGTTACCGAACCGGCACTAAATTGTGGGCACTAAAGGCCCCCCCTTTAGTACCGGTTCAGCACGAACCGGTGCTAAAGGGCAAACACGTGGCACGAGCCAGCTCCGTGGGCGCGTAGGACATTAGTACCGGTTGGTAACACCAACCGGTACTAAATGTTTTGGTGTGTTTTGGTTTTTTTACTTTAATTATGTATTTTCAATTTAATTTAGCGATTGTTTTACATTATAATGAGTTGTTAAATCATTAGGTGATTAGTTTGACTGGATGCGTGTGGATCCTAGCTGAGTCATCAAGTATATGTCATATCCATATTATATATACTTGATCACCTACTTAAGTGATCGAGGTAATATGGATATGGCATATATATACTTGATCACTTAGCTAGAATCCATCCAGTTGAAACTAATATGCAATTTCTTTCATAAATGATATAATAACTCATCATCATCATATTAATTAATATAAAAACTCTTGCATCATATATATCATCACCAACGGTTTTCATAGCAAAGATATCATCGAGTTCAACATGGTAATGATATTATAATCGTTCATAACACCACAAAAGCAAATCACTGTTTGAGATTAAGTTCAGGACGAAGAACACGGACATGAGAGTACAAGTACTAAGAGCATGAACTAGCTAATTAATCACTCCTGCTGCTCTCTCTCAGGTAAAATAGCATAGAACATGTATAGCTTTGCTGATTCATCATATTGGAGCATGAAGATGAACCTGTCTCCTAATCGTGGGTTGCGCTTCTGATTGCTGCCCCTAGTACTTCTCTGTGATCGTTCACAATTTTGCTCCAGTCTTTTACTATTAAGCATTCCTCGCTATTAGAAATCCTGAATGCACTAAAGTGCATTGTAGGATATCTTGGCCGTAAGCTAACAATATTCATGGTACCTTTAGTCTCGATCCAATCAGGCACAACATTCATCGGGAGTCCCTGTTGAAGAACATCGTATAGTAACATACTTAGCAATGAAGTTTAGCTTAAAAAATAATGTATGCAAAAGATGCACTGAGAGGAAATAGTAGAAATCTTACCATCTTTCCTAAATATATGTGACCGTAGTTCAGTACGAACACTATTGGTCGCACGTTTTGAGTACTAACATTTCTAAGTGCAGGAAAGAAATTTGTCTTGACAGCATCAAGATCCTCAAGCCATAAAATATAATGACTTGTCTCCTCGGAGTTTAGTTCAGCCCCGGGACAGTGGATGGTCCTGTCTACCAAGCGCCGGACATGTTTGCTTGACTGGAAGTAAGCTGTCAATATTAATTGAGATCTATTAATTATTCAACTGGTTCAAATAATCTCATATCGAAGACATAATTATGGTTGAAAAACTTACATAATGGTAGAACTGGAGGCGTCTGCACATCGACCCAGATGTCCCTATTACCTTCAATATCATCTTCCGGACGAATATCAAAGGTGATAACCATATGAGGCTTAAATGCATAAGCCTTGTATAGTGCTTGCCAAGTTTTGCATTCAAAATAGGTGTATGTGTCTGCATTATATAATTTGACGTTGAAGGTATAACCATGCCCGGTCTTCAAGTAAACTTTTTTTACCTTCATAGTTTCGTTAGGACTGAAACCTATCTTATCCAAGACAAAAAATCTTGCATGGCAGGGGATACGCTAGTAGAATAGTGAAAAATTAAAATTAAAAGGTGAAGCAAAATGAAGCATAAGTCATGCTTAATTACGAAAAAAGACTTGTCGTTGTGACTTACTGTATCCACTTCGAAGTTCTCATCCAGCTTGATGCTGAAGCGTCTATCATCAACTAGAAAATTTTGGTCGCACAGGCCGCGCTGGTCTTCACAGTATTCACACATAATGAAATCGTGTTCGTCGTCAGACGACATTCCTATGTTCATAGGTGAGACATTAAACACTTATTAGTTCTATTAATTCAACAAATTCTGTTAATTCAACTAGTTCAACTAAGCACTTACGAAGAATATACCTAATTAATTAAACTAATTCAACTAACTAGTTCAACTAATTAATTGAACTAATTCATCTAATATCTAACATATATGTTCATATATAGGTGAAACATTAAACACTTACTAGTTCTATTAATTCAACTAAATAAACTAGTTCTATTAATTCAACTAAATAAACTAGTTCTATTAATTCAACTAAGCATTT